CTTCTAACTAACTCAGAGCTGGAGGAGGGGCCCCACCCATTTGTCATCCGGTACAGAACCCCTTTCCTTGGCTTTCTTAATGGTCCACTACCTGTCCTTTGTGCTGTTAATGGCCCATCTCCCAGACTATTTCCTGACCATGGGAAACTGGGTCCAGGACAGGGATTAGGAGTCTGGCATCCAGTTCAACACCCCAAGCCTTGCTTAAATTCTAACACCTACTGGACCCAGGAATTTAGGAGAGTCTGGCATCCACAAACTCACAACAATATGTTATTAGATACAGTGGTACCTCGGGTTAAGAACTTAATTTGTTCCAGAGGTCTGTTCTAAACCTGAAACTGTTCTTAACCTGAAGCACCACTTCAGCTAATGGGGCCTCCTGCCGCTGCACTGCCACAGCGCGATTTCTGTTCTCATCCTGAAGCAAAGTTCTTAACCCGAGGTACTATTTCTGGGTTAGTGGAGTCTGTAACCTGAAGCGTCTGTAACCCGAGGCACCACTGTACAATTCTAAAACATAATTCACACCTAGCAGCAACAGCTTAAACAAGTGTGTGCATGCAGAAAATTGGCAGCAGGGCATCTAAAATACAAAAACAGGGCAACTATACAACAGTCTTCCCTTTATGCAAAAGCAGCTCTTAACTCCAGCCTGAACAGAAAATGGAGCTTTCATTTCCTCTCTCAGTCTCCCACTCTGGGAGATTTTCACTTTCCTGCTTTTGGGGGGATGTCATGACTATTAACATGGTATAAGACTGCTTTAAATGTATGATATGCATGTGATCTAAGTTTTCTGGAAGCACTATTTATTTGGCGAGCATCTTTTGGCTGACGATGACCAGAATGAATGGTCTGCATTTTGTTTTGATTCAGAGTCGTGTGTTTTTTTCTACAACATTCTAGGCCCTTTACTAGCTAGACTGATCAATAGAGATACAGATATGTAAATGTTGTGATTATCGGTTGCTATTTGTTGCCCACCCCAAGGACAGGATCAGCTAAATCGTGTAAACAGTTATGTTTTCTATTTTATTTTGCCTGGTGCTTCCTTCATTTCTGTAGGAATTCCACGAGAATGACTCGACATCCTTTAGCCTGAAGCGGCATGGAAATTCAGGACAGATGGAAATTCCTGATGACTGGAAGGAAGTTGTAAACTCTGCCTCCAACTTGGGTTTGCTGAATTGAAGTAGGCAAAAGAGTAAATCTAGACTGAAGGAAAAGTCTTGAGCGAAAGATGATCTTGATTTTAAATAATAAAACAACTTCAACACATATTGGGGATGACAGTAAGCCAGGGGAGCCTGCTGCTGGTCTCCTCCCACCCTGGTTCCTGAAGAAGATCTTTATTCCCCCTTGTTACTGAGGTAGATCGTCATTCACCGCTTCTTCCCTGGTGGGGCATGGGGGGGGGACGCCATTTTTGTGATTTGCCTCAGGTGCCCAAATATATTGAGCTAGCCCTGTCTGGAAGGGCCCTGCAGACCAAGTGGATGAACTAGAAGGGGCAACCTGTCTCCTCCCGTCTCTACAGGCTCTGATGGTGATGCAGATTTCACCGCCATTGCTGACCGAGTAATTAAAATGAAGCAGTACAATGCTTGGGGAATGGAAAGAGGCAAGGAAAAGGGGTTGATTTTTCTGATCCTTAGAATGACTAAGAAAAGGGTCCAAGTTCCTGAGTAGGTTGGCTAAGATTTATAAAAGACTCAGATACGTGTTGGAAGTGTAAAGAAGCAGAGGGAACATTCATCCACATGTGGTGGACATTTAAAAGGGTAAAAGGGTATTGGGAAATGACTTGTAATGAATCGAAAAAAATGTTTTAAACTACTTTCCCCAAAAAACCAGAGTCCTTTTTCTTGGGGATAACCCAGACTGAAATTCCTAGGTGTCAGAAAAGGTTATTTATGTATGCAACAACTGTGGTCCGTGTTTTGTTAGCCCCAAAATGGTGAGTGAGGACCCAGCTAAAGAGGATTGACAACTTAAATTGACAGAATATGCAGAACTTGCAGATTTAACAAATAGAATAAGAGAGCAAGAAAAACACACATTTGAAGAAGACTGGAAAACATTTGTTGAATATATGGAAAATAACTGTATACAGCTGAAAACGGTGGCATAAAATTGATAAATTCAACAGAGTAAATAATAGTTGATGGATGTAAAAGTGGAAAACAGATTTGAATGGTTATAGTAAAATATGCAGGGATGTACGATATGTAAAATGAACCATGGAAAGAGAAGCAGGGAAGTCACTGGATATTTTAAAGTTTGTAAAATGTTTATTTGGAAATGTTAAATGTAAAATGGAATAAACAATATTATATATAAAAAGGAAAATGGTTCAAGTTCTTTCTGATTTATCTTGGAAACAACTCTGATAATTCCTGAGTCAGTCTGGGGCAGGTGGCAGACACTCCCATCTCTAGTCCACAATGCGGCGTCCATAATATGGAGCAAGTTTGGCTCTTTCACAGACATCAGAGGAAAATCCAGCATGAAATGAGAGCAAGCCAGAGTGTATCCCCATGTCGGGGATTGCTATATAAATAGAAGTGGGGGCATGACTCTCTGCATCTAAATCAAACTCAGCATGCCACATTGGTGGCAGGTTGTTGTTTAGTCATTTAGTCGTGTCTGACTCTTCGTGACCCCATGGACCAGAGCATGCCAGGCACTCCTGTCTTCCACTGCCTCCCACAGTTTGTTCATAGCTTCGAGAACACTGTCCAACCATCTCGTCTTCTGTCGTCCCCTTCTCCTTGTGCCCTCCATCTTTCCCAACATCAGGGTCTTTTCCAGGGAGTCTTCTCTTCTCATGAGGTGGCCAAAGTATTGGAGCCTCAGCTTCACAATCTGTCCTTCCAGTGAGCACTCAGGGCTGATTTCCTTCAGAATGGATAGGTTTGATCTTCTTGCAGTCCGTGGGACTCTCAAGAGTCTCCTCCAGCACCATAATTCAAAAGCATCAATTCTTCGATGATCAGCCTTCTTTATGGTCCAGCTCTCACTTCCATACATCACTACTGGGAAAACCATAGCTTTAACTATACGGACCTTTGTTGGCAAGGTGATGTCTCTGCTTTTTAAGATGCTGTCTAGGTTTGTCATCGCTTTTCTCCCAAGAAGTAGGCATCTTTTAATTTCGTGACTGCTATCACTCGGTGGTGGGTAGATTTGACTAAACAGTTCTCAAGTCAAAATGACTGTGGCTCTTAATTTCAAATGACAGATTTCAAACAGCAACTTTGAGGTGCATTTGCTGGAAGGTTGAGACAAACACAGAATAAGAAAATTCTTAATAGCTGGTGCATGTCTGCTAGCAAGAAACACAATGGCCTAACATTTAAGGGTGAAAGGATTACCTTCCAGGAAAAAAAATATTAGTTTGTTTAGCATTCTGCATTTTCATACTCCAGCCCAGTGCTCCCCCCCCCAAAAAAAAATGTTTAGGGGTACTCTCATTTTGACTCAAGAAAATCACCATTTTATAGTTCATATTGGGAAAAATAAATACAATAAATGGACAAAAGTACAAAGATTCACAAAATGTTTAGGGGTGTACAGACCCCTGCGTCTCCCCAGAAAAAAAAAGCTCTGTTCCAGCCACATTTCTTAAAGGAAGAAAGAAACAAAACCGCAGCCCTTCACAATGTGTGACTGCAACAAACAGGTGTTTGCTAACTCTACAGGTAGAGTGATCAGGGAGCTGCAATAGCTGTAGCCCCTTTTGAGTGTATGTTCAGTGGCGTCCCAGGCTGGCAGCACATAATAGGCTCTTGGCAAAGGCGAAAGTAGCTTCTCCGCTGTGAGTCAGCTAGGGGAGTTTTTCGACACACATTCGCAATTTGTCCTTGCCACGTGGGGGCAGTATTGTGAAGCTGCTCAGACTCAGAAAATAAAATATTACAGTCAGATGTGAGAAATAAGGACGTGAATTTCACAGCATGCTTGCATTTTACTACGGACAGGTCTTTCTGTAGGAGATTAATTTCTTTATACTATTTTACAGTGCCCATTAACACAAAAAAAGAGAGACACACTCATGCAATCTGGAACAGTTAAAACAGCATTAGCATAAAAGCAGTCGCAGAAAACAACCACCGTTCAAACCACTTAAAGGCACTGAAATGAAAAAGTTTGTGAGACAACAGAAATGTGTTTTTTAAAAAAATTATTTATTTGGTTTTTCAAATTACAGATTTACAATCACATATCCAACATACAATATGAAAACAAGATTCAAATTAATCTCCTGGACTTCCCTCCTCCCCTTTCCTCCTGCATCGTTTATACTAATTGAGATCTTTTACATCTCCATTATATCCAAAATTCACCATTAAACTACAAGTGTGATTCCAATCTTACTAAGAATTTTAACGGTTTACAATGGTTTTTAAGATAAATTATAAATTTTCCTCATTTTTGCCATTTTGGAATAATCCATCAACTTAATCTGCCACTCTTCTCTGGTCGGGACTTTATCTTCTTTCCATCTCTGGGCCAATAACATCCGTGCAACTGTGGTCACCTACATAAATAGTCTTTTCTGCTCCGTTGGGATTTTGGCACCTAGAATTCCTAAAAGAAAGGCTTCAGGGGTGTTTTTTTAGAAAAAAGTTATTTTAGACATTTTTTCCAGTTCATTATATATCATTTCCCAAAATTCTTTTAATACCTTACATGTCCACCAGATATGATAGAAGGTGCCATCGAGACAACAGAAATGTTTTCACCTGGTGCTAAAGAGGCCACAATGAAAGTGCCAGGCAAATCTTTGTAGGAAAGGCATTGCACCAACTAGGGTGCCACCACAGGAAAGACCTTCTACCTAGACAATAAAGTGGAACCAAACTATATCACATGTTTTGTGCATGTTTGCTCTGAAGGAAGTCTTACTAGGTTCAATAGGTAAGTGGGCTGGGATTGCAGCTTTGAAAATATGCCCCTCCCATTGATATATAAGTGGCAGGAAGTGATTATTTAGTCTTCCTTCATTTACAAGAGGTCCCTACAGCCCCTTTAAAGACAGAGATCCTTCTCCCTAGAAATAGGCAATGACAAAAGTAGTTTCGCCCCAGTGCTAAAGTCCACATCTTCTGCAAACAGAGTCTTGGATCGAGTCAGACTGCCTTGAAGGAAGCAAAACGCTGAGACGGTTTTCACTTATGGCTGAAGAACCGCCTTTCTCTGTGCTGCAGGGGGAAATGGGGGAAATGAAGAAAGAGGAAAAGGTTGACAAGAAAGAGAAGAAAAAGAAAGGACATAAACGGTCGCATAAAGAGAAGCACAAATGTGAGTACAATCGTGGCCATCCTCCTCCTCATGGTTCAGGATTGATTCAGGGTGAAGATGTAGCAGTCAGGCGTTTTTTGGGCCCTAAGACTGGGAGGGGCTGGCCTCCCCACCGCTCTGTGGGGAGCAGAAAGCCAGGTGGAAATTCTTGTTTAGCACACACTATTGACTCTTCCAGTTTAAAGGAGAGTCTTCCTAGGAATCTCCATGATCCTCAAAATGGTAGTGCTGCTATAAACCTCCTTGTATCTCTTGTAGATCAGAAATGAACTAATTAGGGTTGTATGAAGATTACCTGTATACAATGTGCAAGCAGCCTGCAGGGGAAGGTGTACGAAGGTTAGTCTGTAATTAGGGTGTATTTTGGCTATAAGATTCTAAGGCCTGCTCTTGGATATATTCAATATTCAGTTGCAAACAATCCCCCCATGTAGTCTTAGAATACTGATTGTGATTTGTCTCGTTGTGTATCTCATAATAACCAGAGGGAATAGCATCAGTGCTTCTTTTAAAGCAAAAGGATTTGGCATGTGTGCCTGTTACTAGGGCTGTTGTAACTGGCTGGCTGGATCTTACCTGGATTCTATCCATGTTACTTTTTATTTTTTTTGTCTGGATCTGGACCATTTTCAAGCAATCTAGAACCAAAGATAGGAGACAAAAATGTCTTTCTGATCATGCCTGCTCCTACCTTTCATTGTTCTAGGTCCATGTTGCCGTCCCTAAAGATAAAAAAAGTTTGAGTGACACACCCATTGACTGAAGAAAGGGCTTGCTGGTTATTTTGAATCCAGTTGTTTGTCTTCCTTTACAACACTATCCATAGGGGATAGTGGGGAAATACCTAATTTTATTGTAGCTGTAAGAATGTAGTATTGCATGCACTCCTAAACAAAAGGCAGTTTCCATTCTCTTTCATACTTTATAATGTACTTTTACTGTATGCAAATATTAAAGATTGATCGGAGGGGGGTGGGCTAAGAAACACATATTTTGCACATCTTAGCTGCTTGCCCCAGAACACAGGCAAAGGGTGCTTTCTTCCCCAGTATGAACATTGCTGTAACCCACCCTGGGACCAAACAAAGAATGAGAAATTTGGGGTAGTTCTGTTCTTACTAGGTACCTCATTTGCTAGTTCCCTCTTTCCAGTGCCCTGGCATATTCATACGAGTCGGCATTTGGGGGTGCTCAAAGCAACAATTCTGCGGGGAACCCTGCTCTGTTGTAGATTTGGTAGACTTGAACTATGCTTCAGATCTTCTCTAATTTCACAACATCCCCTGTATTAAAAATTGGTTGCCAGCCAGGATCTCTGAATCTTTCTCTTGCCCTGGCAAAATTTTGAAGCAGGCTATCATTTTACTCTAAGCTCAGTGGTTTGCAGGCTAAATTCTAATTATTTTGGTGAACTCTTGCTCTGGCCTATTCTCATTCTTCCCCTCTCCCCCTATTCTGTAAGCACTTATCTCTTATCTGCAATGGCCTATGTTGTCCTGCCTTCTGAAGTAAGGGTATTAGCAAAGAGGCTGCATGGGCGTAGGCAGGAGTTTTGTTGGGGAAGGCAGGCCTTTTTTTGGGGGGGGGGGCGCAGAACCTCAGTTAGCTATGTAGTATTATTTATTTTTATTGGTTTAGGCTGCCTCCCCCCCCCCCGGCTACGCCCATGGCTGCAGCAGCTTCTTTTGTTAAAACTTGAGGATCTTGCTTTTATTCTCACAACCGATATGGTTGTACTTATCACAGAATAGTTACGGCTGAAGCAGCAACATCTACTACCTAGATAAGAGGGAGAGGAGTGAAATGGTTCGCTGGCAACTTGTTTAGATAACCACGAAAGAATTAATTGAGTCACAACCAGGCTTTGTTCCCAAGAGCAAAAAAACTGGGGGTAGTGAAGTTGGAAAAACATAGTTGCCCTGCTCTATGTGAAACCATGGCAATAGTTCAAAATGAATTCCAGCGGTTGTGATTCGAATCCCTGTGACAGAGTGAGCTCCCGTTGCTCTGTCCCAGCTCCTGCCAACCTAGCAGTTTGGCTTCATTGAAGGGCAGTATTTCAATATGAGTAGGAAAATGAGAGTACCCCTTAACATTTTTTGGGGGGGGGTGGAAAGCATTGGGTGAATTAATTGTCTAAACCACTGAGCCTCTTGGGCTTGCGGATCAGAAGGTTGGCGGTTCGAATCCCTGTAACAGAGTGAGCTCCCGTTGCTCTGTCCCAGCTCCTGCCAACCTAGCAATTCAAAAGCATGCCAATGCAAGTAAATAGGTACCCCCTGCGACGGGAAGGTAAACGGTGTTTCCGTGCGCTCTAGTTTCCATCCGGAGTCCCGTTGCGCCAGAAGCAGTTTAGTCATGCTGGTCACATGACCTGGAAAGCTGTCTGTGGACAAACGCCATCTCCCTTGACCTGAAAGCAAGATGAGCGCCACAACCCGTAGGCACCTTTGACTAGACTTAACCATCCAGGGGTCCTTTATCTTTTTTACCTTACCATATTGTATTGAACACACCGACCATTTGTTTGGAAACGTGGGATATAAATTATTCTGACAAATAAATGTTAAGATAAAAACGTATCTATTTATTTTACAAACTACTTCTAGGGGCATGGGGGGCATGTAAAGCCTTGGGTATAGCAACTTTATTGCAGAACTACGCGACACTAAATATTTTATTTCAGAACTGGAAGAGGGAAATGGAGGATGGTCTGTACATAAGAGACAGTCCACAGTTAATACGCTATGCCTCAATACAACATGACTATCCTCTCCTTTTCATATAAGCATTGGTGGAATTTGATCCAGCTAAGTCAAGTCTTTATTAGTGCTGCTCTTTGTTTAAGTTGTTGCACTTGGAAACTGTGTTTTAAGTACTGTATTTGTTCAGATTTGGACAGTGGCTTTTCTTAACAATTTTGCCTATTTTTAAGCTATCCTTTGCGATGTGGCTTAACCAAATAATAATGTGCACCAAAAGGCAGATAATGTGGGCAAAAATGGTCCATTGTTTGCTTTGGACAGGTACCAGGAAAAAAGGAACCGATCCCAGAAGCGTTTGGTTACAGTGTGGTTAGGGCTGCAAAATCCCATAGCATCGTTGAGAAAAGTGGGATTTGCTTCTGCGAATCAGTGTGTAGCAGGCTGCTGCTGAGCTAAGAATCCAGAAATCCATTTTCAAATTCTCCTCTGCTGTGCACCGATTAGGTGATCTTAGGCAAACAATTTCCTAATTCCTGAATTCAGCATGGATTCAATTGTTGGACTAACCAGGACAGCCTGGGAACAGCTCGCTAAGGCGGAACCTACATACGTATAAAAAAAAACGCTGTGAAAATGCTATTTTAAAAAATGTTTTGAAAAATACTCGCCCCAAAATGGAAAGAAGCAGAAGTCCCAGCAAAGGAAGAATGGACACAAAAACTTATGGAATATGCAGAAATGGCAAAACTTAACGGAAGAATAACAAAGCAAGACAATAAACCTTTTTTTATAAAAGAATGGAAATGATTTATTGAATATTTACAGATAAATTGTAAACAGATAAGAACATTGGCAGGATCATTGCAATAACCCGCAGTTTTATAAGAGTATATATTTAAAGCAGATGAATAAATGAGCAAATTAATTTGGATATGCAGAAGACATTAAAAATAAATTTAAGTAACCGCAGAAAGAGGGGGATGGAAGTCAAGTTTTGAAATGTTAAAATGATTGCAAAATCAGGGAAATGTATACATCTGAAAAGCATAAATTATATATATATAGAAAAAACCAAATAATCTATATGTTGCATTATATGCAATTGCATTTACCATATATCCCCTCTCAGCCAGCAGACCATGAGGTGTTTCATCTCACAGTCCCTTTCAATATTTCTGTGATTTTATATCTATAGAATATATCGTAAAAAAATATATTTTGTGTGTTTGTTTATAGATCTCTCCTTATCTATATCTAAACATATGTATATATTAAAAACCGGGAATACTTTTTTTTCACTGCAACAAATGCTATATTAGTAGGCTGTGTGTCTGGATACAGCATCTGTTGCAGTGAAAAAAACGGAATTGCTAGTAGAATAAACTTAAGCGCTCCTACTATTGTTCGGAAGGCGGGGTTCAGGCTCCAGTTCCGCGCATGCTCAGCTCAAAAGCAACTCCGCCCTGAGCTCCCCGCGGCTTCTTGCCCGGCAAAGCGCAGGCGCAACCTCCCAGCACCATCGAAACCCGCGATTCTCGTTCGCTCGCACTGCGCATGTGTGCTCGGCTGCCCCGTAGCAGCCCGCCCTTCTCCTCCCTCCGGAGCCCCGCCCCTTTCCCGCCCCATCCTCCTCAAGCCGAGGACCCCGCCGGCCCGCGGAATCTCCTCGGCAGGACTGTCTACTCCAGCGCCTGCGTGGGCCGCGAGACTCCCCGCGCCAGTCCCCGCTCTCTCTGCATCCCTCCCTCTGCATTTTGCCGCAAAGGGTCTCCTCGGCGCTCGCTTGCTCGCCGCCGGCCCGTCTCCGTAAGCGTCCCCGGGGCCGCTCCAACTTAGGCGCCCGCCCCGGGCAGCCCGCCTGTCGTTGCGCGCCCGAGTCGCGGAGGGGGTCCTTGCGCGCAGGCGGGCGGCGAGCGCGAGGTGTCTCCTTCACTTCGCCCTCCAGCGCGGCCTTCACGCGGGTAGAAGAGGGAGGGGCGGCGGAGGCGCGCGCGGGTCTCTCTGGGTCTCGGAAAGAAGCACGTCCCTTTCCCCCCCGACTGGGCAGGTAAGGGCCGTGGCGGGGTTACCATGACAACGCGGGGTGGGGTGGGGGGTTCCTTTTGCCCGGGGGTGATGGCGCGGGAGAGGAAAGGAGTTGAAAAGGAAGCATCTCTCCCCGCTCTCGTTTCCCCGCAACAACAGCGCGGCGAGGTTGGCTCGGCCTCAGATCCCTCTTGCGGGGCTTAATAGGGAATTTATTCTGTTCGTGGTGTTTCTCCACGCGCTCTTTCCGTCAAGGTTTCCCGTGGGTGGGTGGGGGGATCCCGAGTGGGGTGTTCCCCCCCCCCGTCCTCCCTTGCCCTTCCTCCTGCCTTTCTCCCTTGTGAGGTATTTGGCGCAGGCTCTCCTCTCCCCAGTTTCCTGTTGGGGCTTTCCTCTTGGCTTGCTTTTTCAATCAGTCAATCAATCAATCAATCAATCATTTTGTTTGTATGCCGCCTTTCCGAAGTTAAAACTATGCTCGAGGCGGCTTACAATGTATATAAGAAAACCACATAACTACAAACATAAAAGCAATTATAAATAATAAAACTTCAAAAAGTACACAAGCAAATCGAACAATTTCCACGTACTTCCAAAATAAAGATACGAACAACATGTCACTTGCTTTATTGTCTGGGGGTCAAGTACCCTTGGCGTCTAGTTAAGTTGAGCATCAAGGTGGCTCCCTCTCCCTTTCCTCTGCAGTTTCTGGATGGTTCACCCTTGCAAGTTTTTGGCTTGGCTCCCGTTTGCAAACTGTCCCCTTTGCAAAAAAGGAGCTGGCATTCTCCTATACTCCCCTTTTCGATCCTAGTTTTCGGGTTCAGATCTGCTTCTTCCTTTATTTGTGACGTTTGCAAAGAGGAGAGGAGGATGTGCTTTTCTGGTGGGCTGTACTTAGGCTGGCGATGCAGGGAAGGGGTCAGGACTTGCTCCCTAAGATGGCCGCAAGGAAGAATTCACATTGCAGTAGCAGGGAAAAAGTTATTTTATCTTCTCTCTCTCCACCACTCCTTCTTTCTCCCCAATAGCTGCCACACCCAAAGTCGTCTCCTTTATGTGGGACAAAGGCAGCCTCCATGAGTAAAGGGACACTTCCGTTCAGAAGGGAAACTGCAGAAATTTTCTGTTATCTTTGTGTGCAGCATCCCTCCCCAAAGTCATGACATGAGAGTTATCTGAATACCACGAGAGTTCTTAATTCTAAAATCTGTGTAATTTATTTTTAATGTAATTTTCCATTTTATAGATTCTCTAAATTGGACTAGATAGCTATGTCTTTTAATCCAGCATGTCAGCGTCCAAGACGTAAGTAGGGAGATGAAGTAAGGATGTTGAAGTAACCTAACTAACAGATTTATAAGTTACAGTAAGAGTGAGCTTTGACGATGAGACTAATACCTAACCCACCATATAATCCACAGTCAGAAAAAGTCAAAATAAGTATTTGAAATCTAGGGGGCTAAGCTGCTTAAATATGTGTTTAAATGAAATATTTCTACTGTCTGTTATGGGTGTGTCTGCCTGGACTGCTTAATATGTTAATATGTTGGGAGTTGCAGATATTTGCAAAGCCTTGGGGATGTGCTTTGTGATAAGGGTGTGGAGGTGTTTGAAATAATAACTTGAGGGAAAGGTGCAGCATAATTATGTAATCTTCATAACTTGTGGTTTAATCATCATACATTGGGCTGCTCTTAGCAAGGGTTTTGCAAATATTTTCTCTCCTTGATCGTCTGTCCCTAGGGCTCAGTACATAACTGGAATTAGGAAGTGCAATTACTTTCTAAAATTCATTATTAAGAAGTTGTTACATAACTGCCACCTTATTCTTAATGGTATTGACTTGAATTCCCCCCCCCATTGGTTTCAATGGGCCTTAAACACTTAACTGTTCAAATTGGCAGGCCTTGTGCTTTTTCTTTGCAAATGTATGTTCTGATAAAATTGTCAACATTTTTTGAAATTGGGAGAAAGTGATATTTAGAATGCCTATTAAAACTTTGCCTCGTGCTCTACCGATTGAGCTACCCAGAAGTGCCCCATTGAGAGTGCAGGGTAGTGGACCTTGCCTATCCCCCAAAGTGAGTTGCTTCAGCTACCACCAGCTGAATTGGCAGCTGAGGAGAGGTGAAGAAATGGGTGGTCTGGGGTGGGGGTTCAATTTGCTGATCCTACTGGATAGGAAAGGAGAAGTTGGCTTTCATTGAGCCCATGCTATCCCAGTTGACAAAACTACCGTAGATAGTACAAACCCACACAACTGCATTTCTCTAATATGCAAGTGAAACATAATTACTATTGTGTTCTTGTCATATTTTTATACCCAGCACAGCAGAGAGATGGAAACACAGGCCTTTGTAGGATAAACATTTATTTATACATTAGTACTTGCGGAAATGTACTAATGTTATCCTTCATGCCTCAAATGTGCACTAATACATTTTGACTTGGAAATATTACATATTGATGTTTGGTTCAAACCATTCATTGAATTCTAACTTTCTCCCAAAATGAAAGATCCATCATCTGAGCAGGAGTTCATCAGATTGTGACTAGAGTTGCCAACTGACCAAAAATAATGGGTTTGGCCTGCTTTTGTGCTTTAACAGCAGCATAAGTGTGCAGAAATCTGAAACCGAAGCTCTTCACAACATTATATCTGCCTGTCAATATTTTGAACATATTAATAACAAATACTGTTAACCAAGTTTTAACAAGTATTTTGTTCAGTGATATGCAAGTTAAATGTGGTGTCTGATTCATGGTACACGTTTTGCCGATTGGAAAGTTGGCGGTTCGAATCCATGCATTGTGGCAAGCTCCTGTTGCTCTGTCCCAGCTTCTGCCAACCTAGCAGTTCTAAAGCACACCAGTGTGAGTAAATAGGTACCACTGTGGCGGGAAGGTAAACGGTGTTTCCGTGTGCTCTGGCTTCCATCACAGTCCTCCATGCGCCAGTAGCAGTTTAGTCATGCTGGCCACATGGCCCGGAAAGCTGTCTGTGGACAAACGTCGGCTCCCTCGGCCTGAAGGGAGATGAGCACCGCAACCCCAGAGTCGCCTTTGGCTGGACTTAACCCTCCAGGGGTCCTTTACCTTTTTTACATGTTTCATGCAGTTTGTGTTATATGGGGTCTGTCCTCAGTTGTCACAGGATTCTCCATATTCTGCATGAGCAAAGCTGTATTACAGATTAAAACAGATTTGTGTGGAAACAGTTTAATAAGTAAAGAGGATATTGGGTTTTACTTCCACTATGTGAATAGATTTGCAGCTGTTACTGAGTGGCTCTTGGCATTATTGGATGTGAACATCTGCTTTGTAGGACTTTCATGCATGGAATGGGGGAGGAGGCATTTTGTAAAATGCAAACAATTGTTTGCTTGTTATAATGTATTTTTAATATTGGTATATATTTGAAGTATTTGCCCTTGCTGTTGTAAAAGTGCACCCGGATCCCCCCTAAAAACATCTAGAGGTACGTTAGTTTGTCATCTTAACTTTGCAATTCCTTTTAGTACAGTACTGCATTGCCATACTAAATACATCACCTTTTGTCAAATTACTTAAAAATATGCAGCAGTACTGGCTAACCACCTCATTATGAATTGTTATTTGACTTCACAGCAGACAGAACTAATTACTGCTTACATTTTGTTCTTGCAGTACTAACATTCCCATTATTTTGTCTTCCTAGCTCCAATGGCTATCCCGCCACCATATGCGGACCTTGGCAAGTCTGCCAGAGACGTCTTCAACAAAGGATTTGGTATGAAAACATTTGTAAAGAATATAATATTGTTTGGAAGCAGACACAACATTTACTGCTGCTCTCAGCAAACCCAAACTATGCTACATAATTGCTGTCTTCCACCTTTCCCCCACTTTATTGAGCAAATTATTGCTAGAAGTGGAATGTTTATCACCAGAATGTTTGGCATGCCATTAGACATAACTGTAACTTGCTGCTGAATATTTTCACCGTTTAGTTTAGTTTCTCTTTGGACATATAAAGATTGGCACTGCCAAGTACAGTGGAGCCTACTGTATCGGGAGGCTAGTAAAAGTATTAAATATACTGCTTAGGGAACACTTAGAAGGTAGCTCAGATCAAAAGTTTCTTACGATAGGCCTTAGCACTACGATTTTCAAACAGGCGTAGATGTCGCAAAGGGAATTTACTATGGTTATAGCAAAGTGAGAACTCACCCGTCTACCCTGGGTGCTGTTTTTTTTCCTGACAGGAGCAAGAGGTGGGAGTTGAATTAACAATATTCCCCCCTACTAGTGCTGGTAGCTGATTTCCAGCGAGGGAAACCTTAGGTTTCAAACTGTGGGATGGTTCTTCCTTGGGGGTTGCAGGGCACCAGGAGCAGGGTGGGAGTTTATGAGGTTATTGGGAGGGATAAGGTCCTGAGGCAGTTAAAAATTTCACTCACCAGCAGCTGAGAACCTGATGGGTTGAATGTCCCTGAACAGAAAGCACTGATTGATGCATTTTTGCGTTTGTGGAAATAAACAATGTACTGGGAAAAGGGGGATTCTGAAAGAGCTGCTGCTTTTTTCCTTGTGTTAATTTGTGTATCGTTTTATAACGGTGTCAAAGATTCTGCTCTGTTTCTCTTCTAATGTCAGCGCAGAATTGCATGTTCACTGACATTAGAAGAAACACTTAAAACCACTTTGAGGTTGCTGGTTTTACTTTGTTTTGTTATAATCAAGCTGTACAGTAAGTTTTATTAACCAAATGAATGAATGAACCATTTGAAACAGTTAGGGATTCCCCAAAGAATCCTGGGTACAGTAGGATAATCCCAGTCTTCTCAAGGAGCTACAGTTCCCAGCGGGGCTTAACTATAGTCCCCTTCCCATAGAACTCTGTGTATACTTCCTCAGAAGAGGAATGGGGACTCCTATCAGCTCTTAGCACACTTAACTATTTAAAGTGCTATGATACTGCTTTAAATGTATAATGCAAATGGGGCATACACCCCCCCAGGGCAAAACAGCTTGCTAGGAGAGAGCCTTGCTGGGGGAATGCAAGGAGAATTGATATCTTGTTTCTGGGTTCTAAATTGAGCAATGACTGCTTTCATGAAACCATTTACATATTCATATTCCATACTAACTACTGTGGGGTGCATCTAAGTAAATATCTCCCAGGTAAATATTGGGTTCTGCTCTGCTGAGCTTTGGCAAAGAACAAAATGATTTCATTCCGCATTGCCAAAGCTTCAAGGGGATCATGGAAGCCATAAATGGATTTTTAGATTGCTTTTGGTCTAGCAAAGGTCTGTTGAGTTTTCTTTGGTCCAACAGTGAATCTTTCAGAAGGGTGTGGGGTGAGATAGATGCAGTCCCTGGCTCCCTAAGGTAGGCAAAGACGCTTTAGAGTTGGTTAGGAACCCATCGGAAAGTAGCATGTCCAGGGCCTCCTCTGTAAAATGCTTTTGCTCCCACTAAAAGCTTGGTGTGAATTCTTTTGGGGGTGGGTCCTTGTTCTAATATTTCAGTTTTTAAAAGCCTTTCCCCCATCTGTTCTGGGAACTAGCATGTGCAGTATATGCAAGAAATGAACTTTTTTCTTGATGTTGCTAGAGAAATTGATTAGATCCATGTAGATGGTCATTTCACTTGTAGAATGCTTTACTATCACTGTAGTTAAATAAAAGCAATGCTTTAGTGAAAGAGCCCTTGCTCATTCATCAGAGATGTAGATGTCCTAAGATCAGAATTTTGTTACAGTTACAGCGATGCAACCAGGAAGAGAGCAGCGTACAGTGGTGCCTCGCAAGACGAAATTAATCCGTTCCGCGAGTCTCTTCGTCTAGCGGTTTTTTTGTCTTGCGATTTAGCGGATTAGCGCTATTAGCGGTTTAGCGGCTATTAAAGGCTTAGCGGCTAAAAGGCTATTAGCGGCTTAGAAAAAGGGGGGGGGGAGCGAAAAAAATCTCAAGACTAGCAAGACATTTTCGTCTTGCGAAACAAGCCCATAGGGAAATTCGTCCTGCGAAGCGCATCGAAAAACGGAAAACCCTTTCGTCTAGCGGGTTTTTCGTCTTGCGAGGCATTCGTCTTGCGGGTCACCACTGTAATGTTTTCTTATGACTCTGCCTGGAATTTTATTCAAGCTTGGCTATAGTGTTAACTTCTTGAAAAACTGGCATGTTGTATAAAAGGGCAGTAGTAATTCCAGTTTTGTCTGTCAAGGTTTTGGTCTGGTGAAATTGGATGTGAAAACGAAATCTGCAAGTGGCGTGGTAAGTGCATTTTGGTGTAATATTAAACAGTAGCTCATAACCTCTGAAATGTGGTGGTGAGGGCTCCAGACCCTTCTCAGCCTTCCCACACTCCCTTTCTCCCCTCCCCAGGCAGTAGTAGTAGTAGTAGTAGTAGTAGTAGTAGTAATCTGCCCTTCATCACATGGTGCCAAGGTGACAAGAATATTAAAATCATTGAAAACATCTTAACAAGCAAAAGGCCATGGGTTAAACTTGTCTCCATGAGGCATTATTATTATTTACCCTCCCTTCATCTTAAGGTCCCAGGGAAGGTCTCAGCAATTTAAAATGCAACATTAAAAACAGTTCAAAACAAATTCAATTCCAAATTGTTATGTTGCAAGCTCCCCCCCCCATAAGATTTCAAGCACATAGAAATGAAGGAGAAAGTGATTTTATTTCCTTTCTTCTTTCTCTTTTCTTTTAAGGGAATCTTTCTAGTCTAATTGCAAACTAAGTTGACTTTGTTTAACATGCAGTGTTCTGATGTGACAGCTGAATGGGGAATCTGCCATGGACTCATTTCTCTTCCTTCCCTTGCAAGCTCCTTGCCTCTCCCTTTTCTCATCTGTAATAATCATAGTTTGTTCTGAAGTCCAAGCTGGGCAAACTAATGCTAATCTCAAAGCTATAGTTTCAGATGGGTTTGCAAGCCACAATTTCAGTATTAACAGTATTAGCATAGATGCTCAATTTGGATCCCTATAATGAAGGAGGGAGCATTTTTTCTGATCTTCCAAATCATGGTTTGTACGATTGCCTGAACTGAGAAATTACATTTCTTTTTGGTCATTGTGTGATTCCTTTTAAAGTACAGGTTAATAATACCTCAGGCCCCATAATTAAGTAGCTTGATCACCAGGGTCTTTCAGGCATAACGTGTTAAACAAGAATGACCAGGTTTGTGTACTTTGTTCTCGCCCTTCCTCTTCTCTATATTCATAGTAAAATTTGGAACTTGTGGTGCTTTCTTCAAATTTTGCCCAAAGAAGTAACATATAGTTTGCTACAGACCAGTTTGTCATAAATGGACCAGGAGTTTCTGGTTGCTCTGAGTGTTGTTTGAGGTTTTTATAACACAAGTTGCAGTGACACTTTGAGCATAATCGCAATTGTAGCAGAGATATACAGATTGTCCGATTCTTCAGAATTTCAGTAAGTCATTGTCAATGGCATTGAAACTCAAAGGTCCGTCCAATTAGTTACGTCAGAAACTTACAGAAAGCTGCAGGGTTTTTTGGTAAAACAAGTTCTTATTTTTATCTATAAGCTGCCTTGAGTCCTGTCAAGAAAAAAGAAGGGATATTATAATAGTCGTAGTAGTAATTACTCCTCTCTGTATTCCCCTTCGGTTTGTTAAACCTTTTCTTCCCACCTGCATTGTCCTGCTAGGAGTTTGCAACAGCTGGTTCATCAAACACAGACACAGGAAAAGTGAATGGGAGCTTGGAGACAAAATACAAGTGGTCTGAGTATGGTGTCACTTTCACAGAAAAATGGAACACGGATAACACTCTGGGAACAGAAATGGCAATTGAAGATCAGGTAATTGAATTTCGATTTGCTGAAAAGTTAAGTGGAAGTCACTTTTTACATCTGCTAATTCATAACTTTTCCCCCCTCTCTAAACTAGCTTGCCAAAGGTTTGAAGTTGACATTTGACACAACTTTCTCACCAAACACCGGGTAAGTTCTTTCCCTCTTAAGTCTTGGCATGTTCCATGTTCATTACACTGAAAGTGAGAGATGGGTTAATGAATGCTACTGAAGAAGACTTCAGTGGCTGGACACATACTGCGGTCTTTAATAACAAAAAAACACAAATGTACAAAATGAATTCACACCACACATAATACTTACTTTAATTTGTCTTAATTTTATAATACATCTCAGGCAGATACATGGTGCCTCATGCCCATGGTTCAAGGAATAATTCTATAAAATCTCAGTGAATTCAAGCAGATGATCCCAAAAACATGTGACAGAGGAAAAGCAGCCAAACGTACAGTAATGGCTATTCATCTGACCTGGCAAAAGACACTTTTCTGTCTCCAAATGCCAGTTATAACCAGAGCAGACAGTATGAAGCTGTTTTTTAGTTGGTGTCACAGAATCCAGACTTCTCTTCATAAAATGTAGTAGCAGATATTGTTATCAAATAGATAGTAGTAAGTGGGGAAAGCCTCCATTAACTTGTGTTTGAACTGCCTCAGTTCCTAAATTCTGAATAAAACAACTTAAACTGCTGAATCAGTTTATCTGCTCTGCAAGGGCAAGAGTTACTGATTGTCTTAGGCTTGGCTTCTGCCTGGCTCATGGGGAAGAATGATAGGCAAATATTTGTATACATGAGTGGCATATAATAAACTTACTAATTTCCCTTTACCCCATGATATGCTTCTAGTTAACCACTTAACACCAAGTGAGGCCATAGGTCCGATTCCCAGCAGCTCCCCATGATTTTCCTGCCCTACCTAGAGGTGCCAGGAATTTGATGTTGAACAAGTTTCCTACTGTAGAGTTGAATTACTAATTTCAAGTAAAGTCATTCTACAAACTCTGTTGCCCTTAAACATACAGATCTCCTTCTTGTAACCACAGGTCAGCTCTGTGGCTCTTGATCTAGTGAATACTCACATTTTGGACTACGTGGACATCTTTAATTTATCTGCTTAAGATGAGAATCAGTATAACTTGTGCATTCCAGGGAAAGAGTGGGTTTTTTTCTTACATATTTCTTTTTCCAGAAAGAAAAGTGGAAAAATCAAATCTGCTTATAAGCGTGAATGTATAAACCTCGGTTGTGATGTTGACTTTGATTTTGCTGGACCTGCCATCCATGGTACAGTTGTCTTGGGTTATGAGGGCTGGCTTGCCGGCTACCAAATGACCTTTGATAGTGCCAAATCCAAGTTGACAAGGAATAACTTCTCTGTGGGATACAAGACTGGAGACTTCCAGTTGCACACCAATGTGTAAGTATCAGAAGCTAACACGATTGCAGTTAATGAAGGTATCCAGAAATCTTGAAAACTAGGTGAAATAATTTCATTGTTGGAGCTGTAGTAGCACTGAATATGCCTACATTCTGAATAGATTTTTTGCTGGGTGATTAATTATCAAAATAAATTTTGAAGGTCTAGAATAGCAGAAGTACTTTTTAAGCATTGTTCTAAAGTATATTAGTTGTTTTAAAAAAGTATTTTTTAAAAGTTCATGCATGCATTTTTTTAAAAAAATGGGCTACCTTCCCAACTTAGGTTTCATGCTCCAGTGAGTAGTTTTATTTCACACAACTTCAACTGGATATGATCTAGTACAAATTGGTATGACAACTTGCAGTTTCTCATTGATAAATACTGCATTAGAGTGTGTTGGAGTTTTCAACTTCCGACTTCAAAAAATGAGGGGTGCTAAAAAAAATTGTAACATGGCTTGTAAATTTAAAATATATTTTGGTTAAATTAATATAATTTAGTTTTGCTAGGTAAGTAAAATGTGTAAAATTGCATAGGAATCATTAAAAATCATTGTCAAGTACTTGCAGTTATGTTATATATTAATAGTGTTTAGTTAATTGAATATTATTATTAAATTAAGTTTCGCCCCTAAAACTGCATGGAACATCTTGATTAGTTGGAAGACTACAGTACCTTTTTAACTAGGCAAGTTGAATTAACAGAGACAAGGCAACCTGAGTTGCATTGAAAGCCCAACAGAAAATTGAGGTTTCAGTTACTTAAAAGAAATGGTGGTTTGCAATTTTAGTGTGATATGGAAGGCTTTCTGAGAGGCTGTATTCTAAACTGTTAGCTTTAACAACAAGCTATAATCTAAACTAAAGAACTGTAAAATAAGCAAGGAAGTACAAGCTTTTGAGAAAAATGTATTTCATACCTTTTAGTACTGATTTTTTTGTGTGCGTTCTGAAGTTTCCAACTACATGGCATCAGTTTGTATGCAGCTGTCTCTTTTTGAGGGCCAGAAAACAAGTGTTTGCAGAGCCATAGCCCTTTTTCCAGCCTCTGAGAAACCTTGGGCTGGATTGGACAATACTTCTCCCTTGTGTTTGCCCTGCCCCAATCCTGGATGCCTGTTTGAATACTACCTCTACATGCACGCCTGTTTTGTGCAATTAAATTTTCCAGTCCTAATCCAGCAACTGACCTTTGTTCAATCTGGGCCTCCAAATGACAATCTTACATGTGCATTCTCCCATTTTTTAATATTGTGCTGCCATTGTGCCCCCATCCCATTGTGGACATCCTGGGGACATTGGAGATGGGGCAAAGCGTAGAACAGGTGGGAAGAACAGGTGTACTCTTGCTCCTCTCCATATAACTAGAAAGAGATGGTTGTGTATTTGTTGGAGGCAGACATTGGGTCTCTTCTCTCCCATTCTTGGGAACATGGGAAGCTACCTTATGCTGAGGCAAGATAGCCTGCAAAAGAGAACCATAAAACAAATATAAAACAGATCAAAAACATCAGAAACAAAAGCAATTATCATAGCAACTGTAAAAATACAAAAAAGCAGTAGATAACAAATCAGTTCTGCATTTCCTGAGCTCCAGCTTCTTCTCTTGAGTGGCAGCAGGAAGGAGTGCCTTGAGGGAATCTTCCTACTTGAAAAGTTACTGGTGGGCCTGCTGCTGTAGTTCAGCTGCGATGCGGGTGGCGCTGTGGTCTAAACCACTGAGCCTCTTGGGCTTGCCGATCAGAAGGTTGGCGGTTCAAATCCCCGCAACAGGGTGAGCTCCTGTTGCTCTGTCCCAGCTCCTGCCAACCTAGCAGGTTGAAAGCATAGCAGTGCAGGTAGATAGGTACCGCTGCAGCGGGAAGGTAAACGGCATTTCCATGTGCTCTGGCACTCGTTGCAGTGTCCCATCGCGCCAGAAGTGGTTTAGTCATGCTGGCCAAATGACCTGGAAAGCTGTCTGTGGACAAATGCCGGCTCCCTTGGCCTGCAAGCGAGATGAGCGCCACAACCCCATAGTCGCCTTTGAGTGGACTTAACCATCCAGGGGTCCTTTACCTTTTTTACCTTTTAGTTCAGTTGGCAGTTAGTGCATAGATCAGTCGGGCCTGGAACACTAATGTACTACAGGGTATTTGGTGAGGTGGAAGAGAACTGAATATTCATGAACAGAGCAAAAGAATCTGTTGTGGCTTACCATCGTTGTAGCCTTTTATGTAACCAGCAGTGTCTTAAGCCACTTTTCACAGCACTTTCATAAACATAACGACTGCAAAGGAAAAACTTGACGAAATCTATTATTCTTGCCAGTGTGACTTCAGGGTCACAAGTTACTATAATGCCTTTCAAAGGGAAATGGAAGACTGCCTAAATGTTTGCATTTTGTATTATGTTTGCACTTTCTGTAGGGTGAGCCAGGGTTTTTATCTCCCACTACCACCCTCAAATTCAGTCACTTACTATGTCACAGGGAAGCCTCAATGCTCTTCTTCATTTGAAGCTTTTCTTTATTTTATCACTTGAATAAAAAAACCATTTCAAAACTATTTTTCAGCAACGATGGGTCGGAGTTCGGTGGCTCAATTTACCAAAAAGTCAGCGACAACCTTGAGACTGCTGTAAACCTTAACTGGGCAGCGGGCAGCAATAGCACTCGTTTTGGAATTGCAGCAAAGTACCTGTTGGATCCTACCGCTTCTATTTCCGTAAGTAGAACTATAGAAGAAAATGCCATAGCTGTCTTGGTCCACAAAATTATACATAGAAAACTTCTATATCCCTTACCATGAGAAGCCCCCCTCCCCATCATAGCTTGAATGAGCATCTCCTAACTGCCTTTGTTCGTGCCTGAGTTTACCTTTGTGAGCAGCCTAACTCCAACTTTGGCATGGACAACTTTTCTTAATGGCTTCATAGTCTGAATGAAACAGTGCGGCCTCTCAGTAGCACCATTTTCTCCAAGTGAGATCTAGCCCAGCAAAATGGTTAAGAACATAACCGAAGCAGCCTTGTGCAAGGACAGATAATTTGTCTACCTCAGTATCATCCACATTGATGGGCAGCATCTATTTGGAGTTTCTGAGGGGGCAGGGTCATTCCCACCCCTGTTTCGTAAGTTTACACAGATGAATTGCTTTGTGTGTAGCAGAAAAAGCTGTGTACAGTCGTACCTCGGCTCCTGAACGCCTTGGGAGTCGAATGTTCTGGCTCCTGAACGATCAAAACCCAGAAGTGAGTGTTACAGTTTTCGAACTGTTTTTGAACGCCAACGTCCGATGGAGCTTCCGTAGCTTCAGACTGGTTGCAGGAGTTGCGCTTTGGAAGTCAAATGTTTCAGAAGTCGAACGGACTTCCAGAACGGATTCTGTTTGACTTCCAAGGTATGACTGTATGTTCTAAGAATTCTGGTAAGGTTCACTCATGAATGGAAATGAGGTCTAATTACATAGCAGGGACTTGATTGCATTGGGGCAAGGTTTCCCACAGCTGTGTTCTGAGCTGTAAATTTGACTGTAGGTGTGCCATTATCTTTTACCCCCATCAGTAAAATTAGGAATAAACGACCTGAAGGGAACGGTTGTAAAGTTAAGATAAAACAGTATAAAGCATCCTACTGCATGTTTAAAGTGCTTTACAAATATTTGATGGAGATTATAGCAGTCCAATATTGTAGTGAATAGCACTGCTTCTGAGGCTTTTGCCTGGTATGGCGGTAATGGGTTCCTTTGACCTGTGGCCTCATTCTTTGCTAAGACTCACGTACACAGATGGCAGTATAGAAATACTAACCCATCTCTTATTTTCATTGTGCATGACAAGATAGGAAGCTGTGTCATAGCAGAAACAGGCTTTAAAGCAAAAGAAAAGGGAAGAAAACCCAAGTTGCATAGATCTCCTGATTGGAACAGTCCTGAGGACTAGTGATTATCTTCTGCCTACAAATTCTGGGAGCCCTTGGTAGCCAACAAAAAATGTTTGGTTGTCAGGACATGCTCCTGCTCCCGTGGGTCATGTCCCTGGTCTCATGATAACATCACTGAAAAGCAGAAGAAGGTCAGGGACAAGCAGATGTGTGAATCTGTCACCCAGTTCTGAGCTAGAGAAGGCTGCCGAAGCATGCTGCCTCTCTTCCTTAGTACCTGCTGGACAGCGGAAGTTTTAACCACTTGGCAGAAACAGAGACGATGCAACACGACTTCTTCATTCTCCTCTGGAGAGGGGCAGCAGGGGTGTGTCTCTGCCGTGACTGGGCCGTTGCAACTCCAGCAGCCCAGTTGTGTACAAAGACAAGGCTCTGTGCTCTTGTGCTCTCCCTCCAGCTTGAGGGAGTGTGGGGAAGCACAGTTGCATTCATCATTACTTGCACACGGGAACTGCATTGCTAAAGTCAATTTGTGAGCTTTTGGGGCTGGTACTCATCTTGCCCACCTCGCTCATCCTTTAGGAGGAAGCCCCGGGTTTGGTGTTGCCATGGCGAGGGGATGAGAGAGAGATTATTTGAAGCCTGGTCATCATAAGTTGAAAAAGCAGTTTGAAGAAAGCTTATCCTAGATTACACTCCGGTTGCGAGTGCTGCCTTCTTGCTCTAGTTGGGCACTATATTCTTTGGAGCAGGGCAAAGGGATGTTAAAATTAGGGCACAACATATTGTGACACACAAAGGATTGATAAAAATGTCATCTTGCTTCTCGTTGTTTTGCAGGCAAAAGTGAACAACTCTAGTCTAGTTGGAGTTGGGTACACCCAGACCCTGAGGCCAGGTAAATAATTTTGATAAGAATGTAAGAGATATTGAAGCTTTTGGTTAATATGTAGGTTAATGGTGGCTGGAGTCTGTTGTTAACATGTTCTTGGAAGTTGGTAGTTCTCCATTCAAGGTTCGAAAGAGACTTAATATATAACGATGAGAAAACACTGTCAAAAATGTATAAAATCTTATTAGAATGGTCAGTGAAGGACAAGGAGGTAAAATCAGCCATGGTAAAATGGGCAAGAGATGTAGGTCATAACATACAACTCTCAGAATGGCAAAAATTAAGTTCACAGCATGTGTTATTCTATTAAGGAAAATTACATGAAGGCTATCTATCGTTGGTATATAACACCAAGGAAATTAGCGATAGTGTACAAAAATAATTCAGACCGATGTTGGAAATGTAAGGAGGCAGTGGGATCAATGTACCATGTCTGTTGGACTTGTAAAAGAATGAGGGAATTTTGGGATTCAGTCTATAACGAGTTGAAAAAGATCTTCAAAATTTCATTTCCCAAAACCCCTGAGGCATTTCTTTTAGGGATTATCGGGAGGGAGATTCCTAGAAATTTAAAGAAATTATGTATGCCACCACGGCAGTGAGAGTTTTGATTGCACAGAATTGGAAAAGTGAGATGATACCATCAAAAAAAGATTGGCTGATTAAACTAATGGAATGCACCAAGATGGATAAACTGACAGGACAGATAAGGGATCAAGTGAAACAAAAATTTAATAAAGACTGGAATATATTTAAACAATACCTGAAAGACCACTGCGGAGAATTAAATTTTTTGACTGGTTTAGATTAACTCTTGTAATGAGAATCATCAAAAAGTAGTGAAAAAATGGTTACCAATAAACTAGATTTATTATGATACGCATTCAGCCAAGAACTCTAAAGGACCCAAGTAAGAAGGGGAGGGAAGTCAGAAGTAATTAGAATATTAATGTGTTGAATGAGTAAGAATATATCTTTGTTTTTCTTTATTATGATTTAGAAACACATGCACATTAACAGGAAACTGAAACTTTATACAGTACTGTGATTTTACGTTAAGAAAGCATTTCTGTTAAAAACAATAAAGATGAATTGCAAAAAAAAAAAGTTGACAGTTCTCAGAGTAGCAGAACTTGCCTCTTCAAAAAGGATTTACTTTGAAAGTTTGAAACATTCCTTTTTAAGTGTCTCTGCAACTTAACTGGTACGTAGGCACCTTTGTGTGAAGCATGATGCTTCTAATCCCACTGGCGTCGGCATCCATGTGTGTTTCAATATAATTTACTACCTTTGAGCACTGAAAAATGTTAGCAGCAACTGATGTGTTCAGTGGACCTTGCTTTCTCTAAAACCCTTTGGTTCTATTGATCTGCAGGTGTGAAGCTCACTCTGTCTGCCCTAATCGATGGGAAGAACATCAATGCTGGTGGACACAAACTTGGTCTTGGCCTAGAATTGGAGGCTTAAGAAGTGTGAAGAAAGCTGCCGCAGGAAATGGGATATCAGAAGAATATGGCCTTAAAAATGTATTTCCAGTGTGACCCGGGGGGCTTTTTTTCCTACTCAGACGGATGGCCTAGAACAAGAGCTGTATTCAGAGTATTTAGGCAGTTACTTGTTAGCTGGTTTTTAGTTAAATTGGTTACCTATCTAGTTCTCAATTCTGCATTAGTGCAGTCACTACATAATACATTATTTAAATGTATTTAACTGTTGAATGCGCTACCCACAAATAATGAAATAGACTTTATGAAAACCTGTACACATGTGTGCATGTTATGTTTCTTTTAACACGTGATAATAGCCATTGAAATAACAGAATGGATCAGTGGATGTTCTGAAAAGTAAGGTCAACGGTTTTGTTAAAATCACCTTAACTAGAAATACTTTTGGTATCCCAAGGCAATTCGAAAATTATGAATAAAACAAATACACACACATACTTGTGCCTCCAGATATGTTGAAGTTATTGATAGGGAGGGCTGAGGTCCGCCTTAATTTTGCTTTAAAAAAAGCTGCCTGTTGTTCCAGGTGCCCTTTCTCTTCGGCGTTCTGGAGCATTTGCTATGACTCCAGTTTGCCGAAGCAGTTAAATGTCCAATCTGGGGATTTCTTGAGTTTGGCCATGGCTTAGCGAGATCTTTTGAGTGGAGTACTACTCTTGGGGCAGTCGTTTAGTGCTGCCACAGAGCCTAGGACTTGCCGATCAGAAGGTCGGCGGTTTGAATCTGCTCAATGGGGTGAGCTCCCGTTGCTTGGTCCCTGCTCCTGCCAACCTAGCAGTTCGAAAGCATGTCAGAGTGCAAGTAGATAAATAGGTACCACTCCGGTGGGAAGGTAAACGGCATTTCCGTGCGCTGCTCTGGTTCGCCAGAAGCAGCTTAGTCATGCTGGCCACATGATCCGGAAGCTGTACGCCGGCTCCCTTGGCCAATAAAGCGAGATGAGCGCCGCAACCCCAGAGTCGGCCACGACTGGACCTAATGATCAAGGGTCCCTTTACCTTTAAGGAATCATAGAATTGTAGAGTTGGAAGGGACCTCGAGGGTCATCCAAGCCGCTGAAATGCAGGAATCATGCCCTCAGCTGTCCATGGGAGGGCTTGAACCACCCAAGGGCTGCTTCTCTTCTTGTCTATTAACAAAATATGCCAGCAATATGAAATGGAAGCGGCTTTGGGAGGAAGAGGTACAGAGATTGTCCCCTCGCTTGCCCTCCTTAGGTGCTGTGCCCCTCAACATGGAGATTGGAAGAGTGGAGATGTATTAGCTCTGTCCCTGCCCCCCTCTACATGTTGGAGGGCAAACGTCTGCCGTGGGGAGTCTGCTCTACTTGCATAGGCTCCCCACAGAATTTAGAAACCCCGAGACAATGAAAGTGGCAGAGCTAGCGTGCTTGCCTGCACCCTGCCTCATACAGTCCTAATTACATGAGGGGAAGACATTCCTGAATAGTGTTTCATAGCTGCATTGGGTACATACATTTATTTTGACACATTGTAGAATGCGCCCATGCTTGGTTCATGCGTGAAACTGTTCTCGGTGCCTGTTGGCTTCGGGAGCTATTGGTTGCAGTGTCTGGGGTTTTTTAAAGCACCTCCATCAATTGCTTTCTCCCAGATGTTGAGAATAGCTTGCTACACATCCTAGCCCTGTATTACCCCTAAATGGTGGATCTACAAGAGATAGTAAAAGGTCTGTTCCTCTGCGTTTTTTTAAAAAAATATGGTTATTTATTAAATTTGTGTACTGCTTTTCATCCATAGATCTCAGGGCGGTTCACAACATAAAAATAAGAGGTAAAAAAAAATACAACAAGAAAAACAAACCAATAGCCCCCCTACCTCCCACAAACACATTTAAAAGGATATTGGATGTTAACCAGGCAAAGGCCTGGTTGAAGAGAAACCTTTTTGCCTAGTGCCTAAAGGTGTATAATGAAGGCACCAGCCAAACCTCCCTGGGGAAAGCATTCCACAGATGGAGCCACTGCAGAACAGGCCCATTCTCATATTGCTACTCTCCAGACCTGGAGGGGCAATGGATGCCCCCTTCCTGATTTAGATCATTGGGATTATTGAAAAGGGGCAAATGGGGCTTGTCAACCTGGGAAGGCAGCCCATCTGGGAGAAGGAGCATTCTGATCCTAAAGCTCCACTGCCTTGCAGATATCTTCGGGAGAAGAAAAGGATAAGGAGTTAAGCCCTACACAGATCAGGAGTGGAGTCCCTAAGGTGGTTGGATGCTTCCTTGTCCGCCTCCTGGCAACTCCTGCAACCCAGCTGGTGCCAAACTTACTGCTCTGCTTTCCTTTGGACCATGTCAGCGAGGCCGAGGGGGTGGGTCTTGTGGTCTGGGCAGCCCAGGACCTCCATAGACCCCGCCCAGGCTTGTGCCCCGGGGAGGTCACTTCATTGATTTGACTTCACCCCCGGAGGTTCACTGTATTGTTTCCTGAGACAGATGGATGCAAAGCAATCATTTTAAAAGCCCCAATCTTGCTCAACAGGACATTGGAGACTTACTAATATTGAAATATGTGGGATCTAGAAAAGGTTTTCTACAGGACTGGACTCGCCTAGCCTTCAAGATTACAGGGACTGTTCTTTCCATCCAGGAAGCATTTACTGTCTCCTTTACCCAGCAGTTGGCGGGTGGCACTGTGGGTTAAACCACAGAGCCTAGGACTTGCCGATCAGAAGGTCGCCGGTTCAAATCCCCGCGACGGGGTGAGCTCCCGTTGCTCGGTCCCTGCTCCTGCTAACCTAGCAGTTCGAAAGCACGTCAAAGTGCAAGTACCGTGGGGTACCGCTCCGACGGGAAGGTAAAGGGTGTTTCTGTGCACTGCTCTGGTTCGCCAGAAGTGGCTTTGTCATGCTGGCCACATGACCTGGAAGCTGTACGTCGGCTCCCTCGGCCAATAAAGCGAGATGAGTATCGCAACCCCAGAGTCATCCATGACTGGACCTAATGGTCAGGGGTCCCTTTACCTTTACCCAGCAGTTGAGCCCCCTTTGTTCTGGTGGCTCTATTTAGCTCAGCAAGGCAAAGCTCGAGTGTGCAAATGATATGCAGATTTCGGGTCTTCCAAGTAACTTACCAATGTCCTTGGGCTGCCATAACCCCAAGCAAATGTGGCAATGAGGAGACTGCAAGGACGTTCATAGCACAGCAAGTAATGTGACACCCAAGTTAAAGGTGAGATACGAGCGAGATTATCTGCAAAGTGATTCGCAAGCGGGTCACAAAGGTTTACCAAGTGTTCCTCATGTGTAAATTAAAGTCTGTAGAGATGGAGAGAGAAATTGATTTAGAACATCCTGGAGTCAGTGCTTGGGAAGTTCATTTTAGAAAGGAATTAGTTGCAGTTCACATTCACCCCCTCCAGAAGAGAACTAACTCTGTTTCCAGTTCGATTCGCAGCTCATTATGTAATTGATTCACGTGGTCCTTGGCTTCTGCTCCCCTCCAGCCTTCAGAATTTTACAAGCTGCTCTGCTGGAGTATAAAATAGACATAAGAAACCATCAAAACACACAGTGTAATGTGAACAACTGTTTCATTTATTTTCCCCAACAATTAGGACCTTCAAACTTAACACAGCAGCATTACTTTTTAGTGGCCACAAACCCAGAATTAAGTGTGGCGAAGCTCCTATACATATACAAATGATTAAAATGCAATTAAATTGAATTAAAATTGCCCCAAGCCCCACTGCAAAAGGAACTTCATTTGCTTTTCAGTTCCCCCCAAAATTATAAGGAACGGCTTTCAGGTGCCATTCAGTGCCATTTTTGAATCTGTTTATAGTGAATTAATTTGTCTGATTTAGTTCATGCCAAGCACTGATCAGAGCTAGAACCGAGTGGCTGAAAAAACAAGCAAAATAAGGTTGAGCTAATAAGTTGGAGTAACTTGGGAGAAAGGTTTAAGCAACTTTCCGTCTCCAGAGTTTCATGCAAATAGCCTTGAATGGGAGACAGGGCATGTGAACTTTGACCTCTCTGGAGTGAGGAACTGTGTGCACATTGGATGCAACTTGCATATTGCCAAAATAAGGGGAAACAGCCACCAAAAAAAGAGGATTCAGATTCACATATAGTCTTCATATGTTACCATACATATATGTGTGCAAATATATAGACTCGATTGCTATAATTTAAACAGAAATACAATACGGAAAAGCTGCTCTGGTAATCTGTGTCTGCCTCCTCAGTTCTGCTGCCCAGATACAAACTATGGATGGGCAGCTTCAAACCACCAGCAACACTCCTCTTTTGGGGGGGTTTCTTAATCTCTAAATTGGACTTGGACAGGACAGCCCTTCAGATTAGGTCTGGCCCATCCATGAGGCAGACGCCTCGGGTGGCAGAATCCCCGGGATGGCTTCCCATCCCTCCTGCTAGAAAAGAGAGGCAAAGTGCTGGCGGCTTCCAGCGAGATCTCTCAAACGGGATCTCGCTGGAACTTGGGAATTGCTGCCACACTGCCCCGATCCGCAAGACTTCAGGGAGGCAAGGCCTCTTCCCTCTTCACCTCCAATGGCCAAACGTAACATGCCGTCCCTGCTTTGGATAGAAGACTGTCTTCTGTCAAGTATGGTAAAAGATAAAGGTAAAGTCCAGTCAAAGGCGAATATGGGGTACAGCGCTCATCTCGCATTCGGGCCGAGGGAGCCGGAGTTTGTCTACAGACAGCTTTCCGGGTCATGTGGCCAGCATGACTAAACCACTTCTGGTGCAACGGGACACTGTGACGGAAACCAGAGCGCACGAAAACGCCGTTTACCTTCCCGCCGCAGCAGTACCTACTTGCACTGGCATGCTTTCGAACTGCTAGGTTGGCAGGAGCTGGGACAGAGCAACAGGAGCGCACCCCGTTGCGGGGAGTCGAACCGCTGACCTAAATTGGCAAGCCCAAGAGGCTCAGTGGTTTAGACCACAGTGCCACCCACGTCCCATGCTGTCACGTAGGAGGCATAGCCAGCAGATGAGAGAGACACCTACAAGATGTTTCTCTCTCTGTGTGAGAGAGAGTCAGAGCCTTCTCCCGTTTCTAAACTCTACCATCTCAGCCCCGCAAGCTACTGGCGACTCTTCTTCAGCAGGCAAAAAGTTCCCTGCACATAGGTTGCCATATTTCAAAAAAGTAAAATTCCTGACACCCACATAATTGTTGAACTTTCTTTTTGGGGAACAAACCCAAACTGTTGAGCATTTTTGGGGAAAACTCCACACCCCAAATAGTTTTTTTGAGCTGTTTCCACTGCTTTTTCCATCGCGTTGCCTGCTGAAGAAGAGTCGCCAGTAGCTTGCGGGGCTGAGATGGTAGAGTTTAGAAATGGGAGAAGGCCAGTCTGATGTGGAGCAATTGCACCATCTGCTGGCAATCCAGAGCAAAACAAAACCAAACCAAACTACGGAGGAGAGATTTATGGAATGCTACTTAATGAATA